TGTTGTCAGAAGGGACCATTCCCTAGAGAAGGATGTCATGCTTGGTAGGGTGGAGGGTCGACGAAAGAGGGGGAGGCCTTCAACGAGATGGATTGACATGGTGGCTGCAATGATGGGGTCAAGTATAGCAGGGATCGTGGAGCTGGCAAGGGATTGGGCAGTGTTTCGTTCTGCTGTGCATAGGGTCGCTATGAGTCGGAAATGACTCGACGGCACCTAACAACAACCAACAACATACCAGACTATGGCCTGGTCTACAATGAAGTTGCTTTCAGTGCTGGGAGCTGTAACAGATACAAAGTTGGCCAATGTACAACTCTAACAAAATACAACAATTGAACTGTGCACACACCTGAAGCCATGATGACTCTGACTTCATTGTGACAACACTGATACCAACATCACTGTATATCAAGCCTACAGTACGTTGTTATTCTGTTTTGTACCATCAGAAGCATCAGTTGTTAATTTCATCATCAGGTAAATTTTTATGATTTGTGTATCTTCTATGTATGTCCATATTAAAATATATCTGTAAGTTTACATGTAAATGTTTCCAACCCCTAAAGACAAATAAAGACTAGATTTATAAAGATATAACTAATAAAAGGCAATAAATAATGAAAAATGAAAATAAATACAAGGTATTTGATTTGAGAATCAACTTATGAAGGAGTCATCAGAATGGAGTCCTGTTTTAAGTCGGGCACTACCTTTACTTATTATAATCAATAAAACACACACCCTCTCCTCACTTACTGACATGGTTAGGTTCCAAAAACCAGGTTGCTATGTGAAAATCAGCGTTTGCAAAAAATGGAGGATAACCACATCAGCTCACAAAATGGAAGATGACTACATCATTACATAACTGTCAAACCACTGAGAATCATGGCCTATACATGTTGACACATAACTTTTAACTATCACAGCCAGCATTACTCTTACCTAGCACCTCAGCACCTGTTATTGCCAGGCATATGTCACCAGTATGCAAAAAAGTAGATAATAGGCTTTTACTATTGTTGTAAAGGGGAGCTCTGGTAGCATAGTGCCTAAGGCACTTGACTGCTAACCAGAAGGCTGGTGGTTCAAACCCACCAGCCACTCCTCGGAAGGAAGATGGGGCAATCTACTTCCATAGTGATACTGCCTTGGAAACCCAAGGAGGGGTCGCTATGAATCAGGTCTGACTTGATGGCACATAACAACAACAACAACAACAACAACAACATTGTTGTAAATGCAAAATGTCTGACAGTGAGATAGTTGATAAGTGAGGAGTAGATGTAATACTCTTTTAGCAAGTATATGTATTACAATACTCTGAGGAAACCATGTAAGAAAGATAAGAGCACCAATAATTACTGCTGAAAGGAGTGATTGTCTAACTTGTAATCAACATGCTAAAATTCCTTTTATGAAGGAATTTTTAAAAAATTTTCTATTGTGATTTGGGTACAAATTTACAAAGCAGATTTGTTTTGCTCTCAACAGTTGATGCACATTTGACTTCAAGGCCCTGATTACAATCCTCAACCATAAAATGCTCTCCTCCCTGTGACTTCCCCTTCCCTATACCCTTCTTATCTATGCATTCCTGTCTGTCCAGCTTTCCCTCTATGTGAATGCTGCCCTTCTGATGTCTCATGGGTGACTGATCTAAGGATTGCATCTCCCTGGGGTAGGTGTTCTGTTTGTAGGTCTTTCTGCCATTGGGTTGAGAACTAATCCATGGAAGTGAGTCCACTTCCAGGCCCGAAGGATAACCCAGGGCCATAGTCTCAGGGGCTTCACCAGTCTCTATCCAACCAGTAATTCTGGTCATTTTGTGTTTTTTGAAGGTCATTTTGTGTTTCTGAATTTTTTTTTCACATTTTTCCTCACACTCTATCCAGGATCTCCAATTCTGATCCCTTTCCAAGTGGTTGGCATTGGTAGCCGGGCACCATCTAGTTCTTCTGGTCTCAAGGCCGTGAAGGCTGAGGTCCTCATGGTCCATCATATCTTTGGACTAAATGTTTCCAAATGACTTTGATTTTCTTTACTCGTCTTTGCTCCAGACGAGAGAAGACCAATAGTTGCATCTTAGATGGCCACTTTTAAGACCCCAGTAGCTACTCACCAAAGTCAAATGTAGAACAAGATTTTTAAGTACTATGTTGTGCCAACTGAGCATGACGTCCCCCAAGACTATGATCTCGAGCCTGCAGGCCTGATGATTCTCTCCTTTAAGGTGTTTCGTAGTTTCTGAGAAGCTTAATCCAACCTTGTCTTCTGTTACTTCTGTAATGTATGTGAATAATTTTGTAGCACAAGTACATATGTAAGACTATCTTCAGGCAAATCTATCCTTGGTCTTGGGTATGGTCCTGTTTGCCCACCCCTACCTGATCTTCTCACCTGTCTATTCATTTACCCAGAGACTAGTGTTTGCTGCCACTAGTAACGTAATATTATGCATGTAATACTATTTACCTCTGTTGTCTAGCTTTTGTACATGTTTCTGTGTCCTCCCTTTCCCTACTGTCACCATACTGGTCACACACTCTTGCCATGCCATCCCTCTTCTTACCCCATCAACATGTGACTCCCAACTAGTCAGAAATTTTCCCTCCCTCTCCCTCCCATGCCTGGTAACCAACAAAGTGAATTTCCTCTCTTAAGGAATTTTTTAAATTGAAGGTTTCAAATAAGCAAATTCTTTACAGACATGAAGCTACATTCAATCAGGTTGTAAAATGTATGTTAATTAACAGTTTAAAGTGGCAATTAAATGGCAGTTAATAAAGCTGATGAATATGTAAGATAACGTGTGAAATTCTAATAGAGCACTACTCTTTTCTTCAAATAATTAGTAGAGCTTCTGAGATTACAATGAGATTATTCATTATATAAATATTACTCACCAGACTCATTGGAGAACCCCACATATACTAAGTACAAAAACAATTTCTAAAAGCAAAACCTTACTGGAATTTCAAAAATTATTTCAAAGAAGAACATTTAAATTTCAATCCAATTTACCTCTTCTCTGTGGCATTTTGAAGCCTGCCAATTGTAGCCTCCAAACTTTTAAGTGGTTTTCTGTTGGGTGGTTTGGTTGTTTGCACATTTACTGTGCTTAATTCAATTTTCATGCCCTTAATAATACTTAACAAGTCTTTTTTCGTGTTCTCCTTTACATTGTCTTGACTCTTGGAAGTCTCCTTGGAAATCTCATGGATTGGAACAGACTGTTCATCTTTCTTGCTACAGATCACACTGCCAGTGCCAAAATATCTTTGGATATTATTTTTTGCCCTAGGAAAGAACATTAAAGAAAAACAATGAAAAATACAATACAAAATAATGCAGCAGTAACTCAGAAACTGTTTTAAAAATGTTTCATTTCAAGCTCTCTTCAACTGCATATGCATTTAAAAAAAAAAAAAAAGTTCCTATGTGTACCATTCAGTTGCATTGATTACTTTCAAGTTATACAACCATTCTCATCCTCCTTTTCTGAGTTGTTCCTCCTCCATTAACATAAACTCATTGCCCTCCAAGGTTCCTATCTAATCTTTCAAGTTGCTGTTGCCAATTTGATCCCATATAGATAGTTCTTAAAAGAACATAATCTTCAAAGTAGACATTTTTTACTCGTTAAGCTAAACTATTGTTTGTTTTTAAGATTTCAGGGCATATTCTTGGCTTAAGGTTGAAAGTTTAAAGATTATTTATTATTTCAAGGTAATAGTTTCAGGGGTTCATCCAACCTTCATGGCTCCAGAGAATGTGGAATTCATGAGAATTTGAAATTCTGGTCTATATTTTTCCCCTTTTGATCAAGATTCTTCTATAGATTCTTTAATCAAAATGTTCAGTCACGGTAGCTGGGCACCACCCAGTTCTTCTGACCTTGTGGCAAAGGAGGCAGCTGTTCATTGAGGCAATTAGCCACACATTCCATTTCTTCCTCCTATTCCTGACTCTCCTTACTCCTCTGTTGTTTCAGGGGTATAGAGAACAATTATTGTGGCTTTGATGGCTGCTTGCAAGCTTTTAAGATTCCAGGCATCAAACTAGGAAGTGGAATCGAGGTACCAAACATGTTATTAGGCCAATTAAGTGGGATGTCCCATGAAACCATGACCCCAAACCAAGACATCAACTACCTTAAGGTTTGTGGTTGTACCTAAGCAGACTTAGCAGTCATTCAGTTGTTGTCAATGTTATCTGTTGCAAGACTTATGCCTATTCAACTTTTTACAGGTGTACAACTTATTGACAATTACAACAATCAGCTGTGCAACCTTTTCCCTAATCAATTTAATTATTTCCATCACTTTTCCCCTCCCTCATAACAGCTAAAAACTTTGTTCTCCATACATTTGTCTTTTTATATAATGAGGTCATACAATATTTGTCCTTTTGTGATTGACTTACTTCACTCAGCAGAATGTCTTTGAGCTCCATCCATACTGTAACATGTATCAAGACTTCATTTCTCCTACTGGCTGAATAGTAAGCCACTGTATGAATGTACCACATTTTGTTTATCCATTCATCTGTTGATGGGTATGAGGAGCTCTAGTAGCACAGAGCCTAAGGCATCTGACTGCTGACCAGAAGGTTGGGGGTTCAAACCCACCACCCATTTCACGAAAGCAAGACTGGGCAATCTACTTCTGTAAAGATTTATTGCCTTGGAAAAATGGGATTGCTATGAGTTGGAATCAACTCAATGGCAGTAGGTTTGGTTGGTTGATGGATATGTAGGTTTTCCACCTTTTGGCTAATGTGTATAGTGTTGTAATGAACACTGGCGTACAAATGTCTGTTAGAGTCTCTGTATTCAAATCTTTTGGATAAATACCTAGGAGTGGAATTGCTGGGTCATATAGCAGTTCTATTGTTAGTTTTTTGGAGGAACTGTCGTACTGTTTTCCACAACAGTTGTACCATTTTGCATTCTCACCAGCAATGGGGTAAAGTTGCTTTATTATTATTACTGTTAATAATAACAACAATTTACTATTTTGAGGGCATATACTACATGCCAAACCTTGTGCAATGTATTTTATGTACATTTATCTTGTACCCACATTAACTCCAGAAGTAGGTATTAACCATATTTTGTAGATAAAGCAATTGGAACTTGCTCAAGGTCACAATGCTCAGAGCTTACGAAAGCCCAAGCCACACAAGTATGTCATAAGTGGGTAACTTTGTGCTAAGATTTTGATCACTTTGGTCCTTATAATAGGAAGGTAGAGACAGAGCTATTAGTGCTTCCCTCCATTTATCCCAGAATTCTGTATGAATATAATTTTCAGTGTGTTCCGTGACAAAAAAAAAAAAAAGAGAAATATTAACACAGCTAATAAATGACAATTCTTTATTCTCAAACCCAAATATGACTGATTACCAAGTCTTTGCTATTAACAAGATATGTCAATACCTTTTCAAAGTCATATTTAAACAACATGAAAACAAATTTCTATTAATAAGCCAAGATAAAATGGAACAGAAAAAAAAGAATATTCCATGGCTAGAGTTATCATTCAGCTCTCTTAATTAGATACACTTATGAGAAAGCTATACAAATGATTGTATCTATTTCAGACCCATGTAAAATAATTCTTAATGCTAAGTAACTCAAGTATCTTCAACTACAGTGTACCAAGTATATATACCATGTAGTTCTAACCACACCATTCTAGCCTGACCCAATATCCTGGGATACAGAAGTATATACACAGAAGTATACAAAAAGTACAAAGAAAATGCTCTAATTATTATTTTATATCTGAAAGTTAAATCCACTAATATTAAAGGTTTTACTACAATGGAAAGGAGAATGAAAAAAAAAAGGGGGGGTCAATGGCCATGTGATTTTATAGTGAAAAAAAACTAAGTATATTTTATAGAAATGTTATTTTATAAGTGTTTAAACCTTCTTTTGGGATTTGCTATTGAAATACAGATATATGGACTTTAAAAACTAATGACTGTACTACTTTCAATAAAAAAACCAACTTGCTGTCGAGTCGGATCGACTCATAGCAACCTCTCCTTGGGTTTCCAAGGCGGTATCACTACAGAAGTAGATTGTCCAACCTGCCTTACAAGGAGTGGCTGGTGGATTTGAACAGCCAGCCTTCTGGTTAGCAGTCAAATGCCTTAGGCACTCACTAAGCCACCAGAGCTCCTATTAGTTTCAATAAGAGGGTATAATTTACAAAAAGTCATTCATCATAGTTAATACCTACACTATACTGGGAACTGAGAATATATGTAAGAATTTCATGGTTCCTACCTTTATGGGAGCTCTGGTAGCATAGTGGCTAAGACACTTGCCTGCTAACCAGACGGCTGGCGGTTCAAACCCACCAGCCACTCCTCGGAAGGAAGGTTGGGCAATCCTACTTCCGTAGTGATACTGCCTCGGAAACCCAAGGAGGGGTCGCTATGAGTCGGGGCCGACTCGACGGCACATAACAACAACAACAACAACCTTTATGAAGGACAACCTTGGCTGGTGCAGTGACTAAGCACTCAACTGCCAACCAAAAGGTCAGTGGTTCAAATCTACCAGCTGCTCTACAGAAGAAAGATGTGGCAGTCTGCTTCTGTAAAGATTTTGGCCTAGGACATTCTATGGGGCAGTTAGTTAGGAAGGAAGGTTGGGCAATCTGCTTCCCTAGTGATACTGCCTCGGAAATCCAAGGAGGGGTCGCTATGAGTCAGGTCCGATTTGACGGTACATAACAACAACAACAACATCTTTATGGAGCTAAGGCTAGAGTACCGTTCCTCAAACTTTAATGTGCATGTTGTTTTGTTGTTGTTATGTGCCCTCAAGTCGGACCTGACTCATAGCGACCCCTCCTCAGGTTTCGAGGCTGTATCACTACAGAAGTAGATTGCCCAACCTTCCTTCCTCCTTCCGAGGAGTGGCTGGTGGGTTTGAACCGCCAGCCTTCTGGTTAGCAGTCAAGTGCCTTAGGCACTATGCTACCTTGGAAACCCAAGGAGGGGTTGCTATGAGTCGAATCCAACTCCACAGCAGGGAGGTTTTTTTTGGGGGTAACATGTTCCAAGGTGATGCTGATGTTGCTTTCAGAGGATCACATTTGAGTAGATACGTTGTAAATGTTATTTAACCCTTACACTCTTATGTTGTTGTTGTTATGTGCCATCAAGTCGTACCCAACTCATAGCGACCCCTCCTTGGGTTTCCGAAGCAGTATCACTACGGAAGTGGATGCCCCATCTTCCTTCCGAGGAGTGGCTGGTGGGTTTGAACCGCCAGCCTTCTGGTTAGCAGTCAAGTGCCTTAGGCACTATGCTACCAGAGCTAGGTTTTATTATTCCCATTTTACAGAAGAAAAAAACTGCTAGTCAAAGATCTCATGTCAGTGGTTCTGAACAATTAAAGACTGTAAGAATCACCTACCCTAAGTCCACTGCCATTGAGTTGATGCCAACTCATAGCGATCCTATAGGACAGAGTAGAACTGCCCCACAGGGCAGATTTCCAAGGTTTATAAATGTTTACAGAAGCAGACTGCCTCATTTTTTTCTCCACAGAGTGGATGGTGGGTTTGAACCTCTGACTTTTTGGGACTCGGACTCGGAGAGCTGCATTTTAACCAAGACCCTAGTTAATTCTGAAATAGGTATCTCAAGACTCTGCATTAGACTCTGGGTTAAATACTACAGTTAACTCTCCAAGCTATACTTGGCAGCACCACGGTAGGGGCCAATGCCTTTAAGGAAAGAGAAAATGGCAATTTTCAAAAGCCCTGAAACAAGCTTTTGATCTTCATATGACAATATCAGAGGTACTTAAAAATTGGAATGAAAAAACCCAACAGTGTAATCACTATTCTCATAGTCAGTTCACTGGACCCTCATTGTAATATTCAATACATGGTACAACTCAATTTAGGAAAATGGCTTTAATTATTTTACATCTGAAAGTTAAATTCACTAACATTAAAGGTTTTATTATAACAGAACGAATCCCACATATACCCAATATAATTCTTACTTAATTTTCCTTCCAAGTCTGCTATATATAGTACCACAAAAAGCAATCTGTATTTGTTGCACGCAAATCATGTAAAGGAAATAACTCCATAAGATAACGTTCTAGCCTTAACCTTCCACCTGACCTCATTTCCAGAGAGCATCTCATCAGCACTTCAAATACAACACCCTCAAAACCACATTCAAGAGCTCCCCTCTTAGACTGTCTTTCCATTTTCACCTTTCTGTATTGCACTAGTCCCTTACTAAGAATGGATACTTTATATTTCAAGAGCTATTATTTTTTTTTTCCTGAAATGTTCTTCTTCTTGTTTTCCATTCATGATACTCTGATCCTCCAGCACAGCCAGTTGGCATCTTTGCTCTCTGGCCACTTTACCTTTATCTCATCAAATATTGCACGCTATTAGTTCTTCCTGATCAAGTTTTCTGCTCCATCCAATCAATCCTTCCCATCCCCACTGCTACCAACCTCCTTCAGGGCTGTATTTACCCAAACTGGTCCTCAAAAGTTCAAGTAGCAGAATTAAGTTTTCAATAATCATGAGAGCTCTAAGAGGGCAGAGTCCCAACACCAAGTATGTAGCAAGTTCTTTTCTTGCCTAGCTAACTCCAACCGGAGTTCTCGCTTAAGGTTTTATCAGATTTCTCTTCCAGAAAAGATTCCCTGAACCTCCCCTACAATAGTTTAAAAAAAAAAAAAAAACCAAACTCACTGCCACGGAGTGGATTCCAACTCACAGCGACCCCCTTGGGGTTTCTGAAGAGGTAAATCTTTACGGAAGTAGATTGCTCAGTCTTTATTCTGCGGAGTGGCTAGTGGGTTCGAGCCGCTAGCCTCCTGGTTAGCAGTCAAACGCTTTAGGCACAACGCCACCAGAGTTCTTTCCCTACAGTGGTAGGTACACTATTTACTCCCACAGCAATTACTTGCTAAATGAATGAAGAGCACTGCATACTTACCTACCCTATCTCAGCATTTACTCTCACCATACTTGAACTGCCTGCCCACTTAGTGGAACAAGGCAAGACTGCTTTGTTGCTGGCTAAACACAAGTACTACAACACAGCATTCTCAGTATTTAACTAAAGAATAAAGGAGACAAGAATAAGACCATTAAAAGTCTTGAGAGGCAGACATAATAGCGATAATAAACGTAAGACAAAACTTCAGTTCTGGAGCCTGGATAAACTGAGTGGGGAGAGTGGCAGCAAGGATGAGGCCCAGCATTAGAAAGCACACAGGGCAGCCAGCTATGCATGTAAGCCTAGCTGTTTCGCACACTCTATGACCTGGGCAAGTCACTTTATGGGATTTCTTTTTCCTCGGATTTAACGCAGTGGTATCTAAAATCCCGCGGGTTAACCCGCGACGCCAGGAAGCTTGAGTATAAATTGACATAATGGGTTGGCAAGGGCATTAGTGTGCCTGATGACCTGCGTAGCCAACAGAGCTGAAGTGCGTTACCTGACTGTTCCTTGAGCAGCAACGAGTAGCGGAATCGCAGCCGCCGATACATCCACGCTTGCAGAGGATAAAGAGAGGCGGGAAAAAGAGTGAAGAGGTTGGAAGGCATAGACCCGAGGAAACATCGCCCAGAAACCAATTAAACTAGGAATGTAATGGGAATAGTGCGTGCCCTGCCAAATACGTCCCTCTCGGTCTTCCGTTCCCTAGCCTGGCGCGTTCCTCCCCCTTCGCGTTCCTCCCCCTTCGCGTTCCTCCCCCTTCGCGTTCCTCCCCCTCCGCGTTCCGGGAGACAACAAGGGCCGAGAAATGTGTTCCGCGCTCGCTCGCGTCGGAAGGCAGAGCCTGTAGACACCAAGCGTCTCTGCCCTTTCTCCTGCGGATTTGAGTCCCAGACGCGGAGTTGGCGTCCGAATTTAGCTACCTTGTGCAGGTTGGTACCGGTGGGAGGAGAGAGCCGAGAGAATGGAAGGGTGGTCAATGCATACTGCTGTGCACACACTGCTCACAGGGCCAGTAGGATGACACAGAGAACCGGGCACTTTGTGCATTGTTTCGGATATAACAGCCACAGCCCCCAAAGAGGTTGAGAAAATTACCATAGAGCATACTGCCTGATACAATAGCTTTTCTTTTCAGTGGTCCCCCCGCCTTTTTATTGTAATTTGGATGAAGTTTTACAAAGCAGATTCATTCTACATTCAACTCATATACACATTTTGTTTCGTGATACTGGTTATATTCCCCAAGTGTAACATCTCACCTCCCACTTCTTCCTTTGGAGGAAAATGTGGTTACCCTTTCCCTCTGTCCTTCTTGCCTGTGCATTCCTGCCTCCCTACAATTCTCCCTGTGCAAATGCTGCCCTTCTGATCTCCCATGGTTCATTGTTCTAAGGAGTGCATCTTACTGGTGCAGGTGTTCAGTTTGCAGGCTTGCCATTTGTTTAGCTGAGAGTTAAGCCATGAGAGTGAGATCAGTTCTAGGCCGGAAGGGTGACTCGGGGCCATAGTCTCTCTCGGGAATTTTGCCAGTCTATCAGACAAGTAAGCCTGGTCTCAGTGTCTGTTCTCCATGTTCAAAACATGAGGCACATACTTAAGTTTAATTTTTCAGAACTGGCTTTAGAGATTAAAAAAATATATATGCAAGAGAAAGACTTGGCTATTTCCTGCCCCTTGTGAAGGCAGTGAACCGAGGAGATGAGGGACGCCATGCGTGGAAGTGCATGAAAATAAACCGGGAAGAAAAATACTGGCTAATGGATCACACAGGAACCACTGGCATACAATTCCTCACTGGCAGTTACATGCTGGAATCAATATTTTTTTCTGCCCTTTTCAAAAAAGAATCAAGATTGTAAGTGAATTGTTAGTAATGCTTAAAACAGAGCTTACATTTAGCAGATCTTGCTAAGATCCACTTGTTAGGTACTAACTAGTGATTTCCACTCATAGTGACCCCATGTGACAAAGTAGTACTTTCCTATAGAGTTTTCTTGGCTGTAATCTTTACAGAAACAGATCACCAGGCCTTTATTCAGTGGCACTGCTGAGTGTGTCTGAACCACCAAATTTGAGTTAGCAGCAAACATGTAACTATTATAGCCCTGCAGAATCTTTGTGACTGAATGCTAGACACAGTGCACTTGGGGATGCTTTCTTTGCCTTAAAAAAAAAAAAAAAAAAAAAAAGCTATTGAAGTATAATTTGCATACAGCAAAGAGCATCAGTTGTAAATGTACTTAATTAAGGAACCCTCTATTTCAAAACCTTGTTTCATTTTCTGCAGGAGTATTTATGACTATCTAAAATTATCTCATAGGGAACTCTGGTGGCATAGTGTCTAAGGCATTTAACTACTAACCAGAAGGCTGGCAGTTCAAACCCACCAGCCACTCCTTGGAAGGAAGGTTGGGCAATATACTTCCGTGGTGATACCCCCTCGAAAACCCAAGGAGGGGTCGCTATGAGTCAGGTCCAACTGACAGCAGTGAGCTGGAGCAAAGTTCTCTCAGACATTGATATCATCTGTCTTTTTCTGGCAGAAATGTACACTCTATAAAATTATTAGCAAAATTGTATATACAACAAAATATTACATCCTTGAAAAGCCAATTAAGATGGTTGAAACTTAAAACAAAACAGCAGAGTAGACTGATGAATTGAATGGGCTTATTCACCATTGCAACTCTTGTTCCTAGAATGGCATCTGGCATAAAATAGGTGCTCAATAAATATTTGGTGAATAAATGAATGATTTTCTAGTACAAAAGAAGAAATAGGTGCAGAAAGATTAAGTGATTTGCCCAACTTTATATATCTAGTAAGTGGCAGAGCCAAATTTAAACTCATGACTACCTAATTCTGAAATCCTTGTTCATTCTAGACTACCTGATGGTCTCAAAATTTAAACATGCATAGAAGTCACATGGAGTGCTTGTTAATACAATACTGAGGAACTCAGACTCAATAGATCTGAATCTGAGATCCTAACAAGTGTCCCAAGTGATTTCAATGCAAGATGTCCTCAGACAAACCCTGAGAAACATTGTCTTGGTCCTGTGGCTTCTTTAGCTATTCAAAACTCTGTACCTTTAGAATAAACCAAAAACAAAACAAACTCACTGCCAATGAGTCAATTCTGATTCATAGTGCCCCCCAGGCAATAAATCTTTACAGAAGCAGACTGCCTCATCTTTGTCCAGAGAGGCTGGTGAGTTCAAACCACTGACTTTTTGGTTAGGAGCCAAATGCCTTAACCACTACACCACCAGAGCTCCTTAGAATACACTTAGAAAAATATGTGTATAATTGGTTTATTAAAGTAACAATCTGCAACAACATGGACAAATCTCAGAAGCATTATGTTAAATGAAAGAAGCCCGACACAGAGGCTATGTAACTGTATGATTCCATTTACATGATCTTGTGAAGAGGATGAAATGCTATAGGGATGAAAATCAGATCAGTGGTTGCCAGAGTTAGGACTGGAAGCAGGGAATTGTTTACAAAGGGGCACAAGGGAACTTTGCGATGATCAAAATATTCTACATCTCATGTGTGGAGGTGTTTACATGAAATTTCATGCTTGTATGAAAAGAAAAAAAAAAGTTCATAAACTTGTATGAACTTTACTATATACAAATTTTAAAAAAAGTGTGAACTTTACTATATACAAATTAAACCTCAATAAACCTGACTTTAAAAAAATAAGTCATGAGACAAAATGTACGTGAACTGCTGTATGGAAAGTGTATTTGCTCTGGAAATTTTCACCCAAATCATAATTTATAAAAATAATTTTAAAAATAATAGGAGAGAGGCGGGGCAAGATGGCGGACTAGGCAGAAGGATTGCACAGACCCTCTTCAACAAAGAAAAGGGAAACCAATTAACACAGACACAGAAGATA